GATAGGATGTGACAATGAAAAAGTTGAGATATGACAACACACTAAATAAACTGATAAAACAACAATATTAATTAAAGAAAATAGGACGTAGACATTAACATCATATACTTAATAAGGTGGACACAAATTATATTTGTTAATTTTCATCAGACATATACTCATCTGATAGGTATTGTTCATTAGACAATACATTACATCGTTCAATAATTGTTATCTTCCTGCCAAATGCAGTTGTCACCATGTCAGATGCTATTTGGAGCATATAATATCGGCACTTATGCAACATTATCCTATTATTTTCCTTTCATACACGTCTAACTGTTGTTTCATAGTTGACTCTATTCTTTCGGGGTATGGCAAGTGAAAGTCTATGTGGCACCGGTATACCAAATTCTCTTAGATCTGTGCATAATGACTGAGATTCATTAGCATGAAAAATCCACTCTCGACGGAGTCCGGCATAATACTCATTTGGATCGAAAAATCTCTCACTCTTGCAATTATCATCTCGCTCTTGTAATAACCATATTGGTTCATGTTTACGGGTGGTATCACCTGCTCGTGCTCTTGAAGTAGACATAATGTGCAATACATNAATTATCATCTCGCTCTTGTAATAACCATACTGGTTCATGTTTACGGGTGGTATCACCTGCTCGTGCTCTTGAAGTAGACATAATGTGCAATACATGTTATATGACCCACCATATATTATGGTTTTATACTTGTGCAGTACGCGTGAATACACAGTATTATATGTCAGCAGAAACAGACAATAATACGAAAGTGATTGGTATAATAGACCCTAATTCATCTTGCGTTATAGTGATTCATGACCCGTGATACGTTTAACAGTATTAGGGTGCGTGGCTAGTAACTACTGTGTAGTCACAGGATGTGGAATGTGACAACACATTAGTGCTGCTGAATATAAAAAGTTATAATGACTGACAATTGCATCATTGTCAGCCATTGCGGTTAAATGTCAGTCTGTGTGACTACACAAGTAAATTGTCAGTAGCAGTGCAGTAGTGTTTAGTCACCTTTATGTTTGAGTTGATGGTCAAATAGTAAAAAAATACTTGTACAATACGCGTGGCTACACAATAGTATATGATAGCAGAAACAGACAATGGTATGAAAATGACTGTGACAACACACTGAGAAATGTAGTCCATTGATTTTTAATAGACCCTAATTCATCTTGCATTATAGTGATTCACGACCCGTGATACGTTTAACAGTATTAGGGTGCGTGGCTAGTAACTACTGTGTAGTCACAGGATGTGGAATGTGACAACACATTAGTGCTGCTGAATATAAAAAGTTATAATGACTGACAATTGCATCATTGTCAGCCATTGTGGTTAAATGTCAGTCTGTGTGACTACACAAGTAAATTGTCAGTAGCAGTGCAGTAGTGTTTAGTCACCTTTATGTTTGAGTTGATGGTCAAATAGTAAAAAAATACTCGTGCAATACGCGTGGCTACACAATAGTATATGTTAGCAGAAACAGACAATGGTACAAAAATGATTNTTTATGTTTGAGTGATGGTCAAATAGTAAAAAAAGTGACTACACAATAGTATATGTCAGCAGAAACAGACAATGGTACGAAAGGGACTGTGACAACACACTGAGAAATGTAGTCCATTGATTTTTAATAGACCCTAATTCATCTTGCATCATAGTGATTCACGACCCGTGATACGTTTAACAGTATTAGGGTTCGTGGCTAGTAACTACTGTAGTAGTTATAGGATGTGGAATGTGACAACACATTAGTGCTGTTGAATATAAAAAAGTTACAATGACTGGCAATTACATCATTCATAGTCGTTGTGATAACACACTAGGTTATTGTGACTAAACACTAGTTAAATGTCAGTTTGTGTGATTGTGACTACATATTATTGTGTAGTCCGTGATTGTGACTACATAATGTTGTAATGTCATTCGCATAAGCTCATAAATAAATTGTCTATAAGTATGAACTCATGTGAAATGTTCAATGTACAAAATTCATCTCTAACGATGAATTTTAGTCCGAGAACCCTATTTGAAACTCTGGGCTATCATTGGGCTTTATAAGATGAGTTCTTTTACCTAACAAATCCTCAGTTATGCTATTCAGTAATATCTACGAACACAATGATGGCGGAATGACAATATCGCTTGACGGAAAGAGAAAATCTAAGTTTAAATTTACGTTCTTCTAACATAAGAAGGCCTTGACAGGTTGCCATTGGTATGCCTATTAACACTCCTCAAAAATTAGAGCGAGCATTGTTTCGCATTCGAGTTGAGAACAATCGAATGACAATCCGTTGCAATCGGTACAATCTACGTCGTATTGCAAGCGACCGTGCTGCAGAAGGGAGGATGCAAGAAATAATTTTAAGCTACCAATTAAGTGGTGAAGATGGATGTATTTCT